GGTTCCATGTGAAATGAAAATTTCAGATTTGTAAGTGAATCGTTTTATAAGTTAATCCAATGCCAACACATTTGGAGCGTAGTAATTGCTTGCCTGTTTTGCCTGTGTGAACCCAAATGAGGGAAAATGCACTGGTTTAAAATGAAAGTGGTCAAAACCTCAACATAATTATTTCTTGTCTTCTTGTTCTTTTCTTCCGTCGATGGTCAAAGCCTGTGTCGTTTAAGATGTTCAATTCAAAAGTCCATAACCTAGTTATAAACTACTAAAGTTCTAAAAATTAAAACGTCACTCAGGCCATGACGCATAAAGTGAATTCAGTGACTACCCAAAAACATTGTTTTAAAAAGAATACAAAGCCGTTTTGCTGTAATTATATTTTCAAGAAATCAAGGTAAAAACGATTTAAATATTATATTTAAAGATCTAAGGATTTAAATTGGTTAGTGCTTTTCTAGCCAAATCCGTTTTTAAAGTTGTTTGAAAATGTTTAGGATAATGAAAACGAAAAATTTAATTTGAAACTTTAATTACCCGCAGACGTACAACTGGATTGAGGCGAGGGAGAAGAGAGGGGGTTTTCAGTAGCTGTTCATCATCTCTCGCAGAAAATTTGATGTGTCAGCTGTTGCCATAGCAACCGCATTTATTTGATATGCCAGTCTAGTCAAATTTTGTCTTTCGAAAACTTCTTCGTTTGTTCCAGTTTTAAATACAATAATTGCAAAATAAGCGCATTGTCACTTTTCATTTTGATTTTGAATTTTCAATCGACTTACGTTATTTTCAGACTAAAATACCAAATTTTTCGTTCGTTTTTCTTCCTTATGCTTACGCTTCGATTCATTCATTTTCATCTCAAGGTTTTCTTATCTCGTACAAGCACCTAGCACTGTTGACCTGGAAAGTGATTCTGCGTGAGACGATATCGTTTCATTCTCCGACATTTTGGGCCAGGCTGATCAACAATTTTGATGATAATCAAAAGTACTGGAAGCGCTGGACATATACTAGCTCTTATAGTCCGAAAAGCCTCAGCTTCACAATGGGGCGTGGCCCAGAACAAGGCAAGATATAACAACCGCACTGGGCCTGGAATCCCATACAGCCGGACTTTATAGATGGGGTGCTATTCCATTACAGGGTTACCCCCAGCATTTAGCTCTCTGGTACCCATTTGGACACCTGGGTGAAAAGAGGCACTGTGAGAGTAAAGTGTCTTGCGCCCAAGAACATATCCAACTCGATGACTGGCCCGAGCAGGGCTCGGACTCGGACCGCTCGATCTGGAGTCAAAGCAAGATCTGCCACGCCATCTTGTTCCCACTTGAAAAGGGCCAACTTGAAACTCTTTTCAAGTCTAAAAATCTTGCAACTATTTACAGAAATTAATGCTTTCCTTTTATCGACATGTCATGGCAAAATCCTCGCTAAAACAAAATAGAGCGCAAAAATTGGTGAAAATAGGGTGAAACGGGAATCAGAGGAGAAAATGTCATAAGTTAGCGGATTTTTATTGTAATTATTTTACACAAGGTAGCTGACAAAACATTTCGATTCATATTGGCCCAAATTGTCCGGTCTCCCACTGCCGTAACAATTGCTTTTCACGTCATAGCCCACAAATCTCCCGCACGTAAAATGGCGTCTGATGTGTTCTCTCTCCAGACCTTTTAGAAGTCAAAGTACCTCGTACGTAATGGCACAACAGTTGAAGTTCTCTTCGAGTCTGTACGGAAAACATTACAAATAAGCTATTTTAGAAATGTTATATATGGTAAATGTTAAACTGAGTACGTGAAATGAAAAATGATAAATTACATTCGTTCAACAAGGGTACAAAGTAAAAGGTCATGGATTGGGTTGAAATCTGTCGAGGACTCAGATTTTTCTTCTATTTTTCCCACGCTCGTCACAACAGATCAGAATTTTCATTTTCTCATATCATACGGCAGCGTTGAAATGTACTATCTTTCTTTATCTCCCTCCACCTAGGTAGCTTTTGCTGATCCCAGAGTATGCAGGGCACGTGTGACATATTATAGCAGTTCAATCACGGTATTTTGAGTTATTTTTGCCACGTACAAAATTCACTTTAAATTGAAAGAAACCTGAAAATAGTAGTTTACTAAGCTATAAAAACACCAAACAGACAATTTAATGATAAACCATAAAGGAACAAGGATGGTTAAGGAGGGAGAAGAATAACACGGATTGCAAACAACGAACTTGAAAAATTTAGGTAAAACTTTTTAAGATACACAAACCGTGACGCGGCTCCTTTAACCTAGTAATGACGAATCGCCTTGTGTCTCTTGTGTCTCAGCGGTTAGAGCAAGTGAAAGGATTCCGGAAGGTCATGTGATATACCCCTACTTCTTAGCAACAACATTTACATTTTTGTCAACCACATCAGATTTTATGAGAACGCGAATCCTCAGCAGGTATTGTGATTTTCAAGGTTCTCAATGAAAGCTGTCGAAATTGCTCAGAGAAATTGCGAGAGAATTTGTTTTGATTTTCGCCAGGTTCTATCACATGGTCGATTTTAATCATTTTCCTTTGAGTTTCAATCCTGTACTTTCATGGATTGAGCGTAGTGTAATTTCTCCTCATAGTACGATGTATCTATCTCAACGAAACAAACGCAAAGAATATAGAAACCATCAATTAACCATGGATCAAAATCTCCATGTACAACAAATTTTCCCGCCGAACTAACATTTAAATGAAATATAGAGCTACTGAAGATGAATTGACATTACGAGATTGAAACAGGGAGTTGAAGTTAAGTGATTGCATTTAAAGCTTGGAGCTCAATCACACAAAACAATTACAGGTACACAGGTGTTGTAACTCAGAAAACATGAAAACCAAATTTAGAGCTAGGACACAAAGCCGGCGGCAACGTCACACGGACGCCATTGAAGAGAACTGTTTCTTTCATTTGCCCGCCGGTAAAATTAAACTTTGTGAATATCCGCTTCAACAACGTAGTCTATTTTTTGGTATAAACAGCTATCCTATTTCACACTCTCTAAGACATAATTGTTTCTGTGGCTACTGTGGCGTGGAATCTTTTTTATATAGATTTTCCCTATTGAGATGTTTGCCTTCAAACAAGTAACGTAATTTACATTGCATTCAAAAGTAATCTCTACTTTTTGAAGGTTAACAGGGAAAGTTAATTAACAGACACGTGGCGCATTTTGTTTCTTTTAACCAAAAAAACAATAATTCAATTATACAATTTTTATGCTTATTTTAACGACGATCATATTTTTTTCGGCATGTACTCGACCCTTTTTTTCGCTGCTCACCTTTGAAAGCATTTATGATCAGTTTTCCTGTTACTATGTACACAGAGTTATGCTAGTCCAAATTTTTCTCTAATAAACTCGAGATCCTTTTTTATTCGGCTCCACTGCGTATGAAAATAGTAAAGACATCAAAAGCTTTCTTTTCTATCTGGACGAAAGAGAAAACTTCCTCGCGCATTCGTAAGTTTAAATGTTTTCTTTTTCTCTACTTTTAAAAGAAAGAACTTTGATGGCAGAAACATAGAAATAAGTCTTCCCAACAACACCTTCTCATTTCCGTGTACAAGTGCCTTAACCAGTGGCATTTCATGTTTATTCTAATGATTTGCAATTTTAGAGTTGTTTCAGTTGTCGCCCAAAAGTGTTGAAAGCAAAATTGGTTAAACAAATAACTGCTGTCATTCATTGGAAATTATTTCCTTAACATTTCCTCTGCCACGATGTGAAGTAGAACGACAAACGATTTTCTGTGACAAGTTAGTTTACCTTCACAGCAAGATCTCGCTTTCCTTTCATTCCCATATTTCCGATGCCTGCCGTAAAAGCTTTTGATCCACAAATCGCGGCAAATAGCACAAGCAGGCCAACTAGAACCGTCGATTGATTCATTGGTAATCTGTGTTGCTCGGCGCCTTCTCTAACTTTCTGAGTGATGCAAATTTCCGTGGTTGTCTTTTCTAGTGTTCTCCACTGAATACGTCGATTCCATCTGGGAGAATTACTCCAGTGGGCGGAAATTAGACCATTGTTTATCTATATCCTGTTTTTTTCATTGTAAAGTGTCCCGGCTTTTCTTTGACGTGTGCCTTAGAGAATAACCTGGACAAGTTTGTTTTCAATGTTAGGAAACGATTTTTAAAATATGTGCGATATTTCCACCCTTAATTTATACCTTTGATCTTGCAAATTATTCAAGTGAAGCTTTTCTCTCTTTCTCGAAAGGATAGTTGATATTCTAGATCCCTCAAAATGAATTTTTAAACATGGCAAGAGATGCAGCATGTAATATGCGTTTAACTAAAGAGTGAGTTTGAATTTTTAATTTTTAATTGGCGTAAGTTATAAAACAATAGAAAGGATATCAAGCTGGAACAGTTTTAAAAAGGTACTGAAGTTTTTCCTTTGTCATGCTAAAATAAAAGCCTGCGGGTTATCTAAACTAGAAAAAAAGAATAAATAAACAAATTTAAACAACTTACAACCCGCTCCATTACTTGCTGAAGTCGCAAAGATACCTATTCGCATTTATCTGCCTTTTTATCAGTTTCGCAATTTATCTGAAACGATACATTTTTCTTCTATTTAGTATTGACTAAACCACAAAGAATTTAACCCTATGACCTATAAAATATATCGATTTCTAATCTTGTTACAAAGGAAAACATAAAAGCATTAATTTTGAATTTAACTTACCGCTTTTTTTATGTAGGTTTTTTTGTGGTAACCCTTCACGCGGCTGGCGATAAGTGGGGCTGTTTTTTGTTTGATTTTCAGAGTGTTGAAGTCTATTCAGTAACAAAAGATTCAAACAATACTGATATATCTCAATTAACTACCAATTAGAAACGAAAGATAATTTCGTCGGAGAAGGAAAATTTTAATCTTAGGTAATGTTAATTGTAACCAAAGTTTAGTAATGGGTTACGGAACAGACTACAACTCCATTAGCAGATACATGAGTTTTTAATATGTCTGTCTGAAAGTTTCGCTTTTAAATGGATCCTTTTCTTCTTCTTATAACTGTATTTTGATAAAAAGTATAGCACTGTAAAACTGCATAGACAAAAGAAGCGAGTGCGCGGTCTTCATCTGTGCGGCATCGCATAGATTGACGCTCTGGAGTCAGCTTTCGCTTGCCATGACGCAGTTGTTTTTCAATTGTTCATAATCCCACGAAGCCTACTAGTTTCGCAGTGCTAATACTACAGCTATAATTCAGTTCGTCAACAAATTAATAAGTACATCTTTTCGACTTTTCCGGAAAAACACACACCTCTAAACGAGATGAGTTGAACAAAATTTACAGGGGAATATAATATCTTTTGTAACAGTGAAGCAGGTTTTAGTTTAAATGGGCCATAAATTGAATTATTGGATCCTTCCACGTATTTCAAACTCTATTAACTTTGTCGCTCATTCGCGGAGAGAACCGTCTGCTAAAAGCAACAGTCTATACATTTTAGCACATATGAGATCTTGCAACTGATATAAGCCAGAAAAGAGCGCCCACAAACTTTGGACGCGTTCAAACTACGTAGCAATAGACAAAATTAAAGATAGCGACACAACTTAATTTGCCAGCTTAAAATTAAATAAAATACAACTTAATTTACGTTAAATTAAAGTTGTAAAAGTATCCTAGAACTCGAACAAATGCAAAATTTGTTTTTATTGACGGCGCGGTGCGTGAGCAGGTGTTCATTTCTAACTGAAGCGGTGTCTTTTCAACTTTAGTATTAGGAAAATTTGGGAAGAAACATATGGCAAAGATACGCTTGGCAACAAAGAAGACACAATATAACGTGAAACATAGCTCCATGTTGTTCTTCTTTCTGTAAAATAAGAGGGATATATTTAAGGCATGTTTTTGTATTGTAATAGCACAATTGAACGAAGCTATCTTGAATAAAAAATGATTTGGTTAACTAAGCGTCTCCACTCAACCAAATGCAGCTTTTGTTTGTAATTTTCTGTTTATTTCGCAGTCTGAGTAACATACGGGTCTTTGTCAGTAATCAACCCATACCTCGCTTTGTATTATTCTAGTTTTTTTCAAAATTACTTTAAGGGAAACCATCACAACGAGTTTCCCGCTTTTGGGATCGATTCAAACAATACTAAAATTATGAATGAGTGCCATCGCTGGTACACTCAATCACTCAATATTTGTACAGTGCAGAAAATACTCGTTGGCACAATTTTTGTATTTTTCTTTGTTTTATAATAATATATTACCATGCACTTATACGAAGGATAATAACAAATTGTACCAAGGGTAAAATTGAACCACAATTTTGTCTTAGATAAGTAACCTTGCACAAACCCGGTGCGCCTGAAATTTGAAATGGCCTGTGCATTAGGATTCAGCAGGCGTGAAAAGCTCTGCTGTCTTAACTTCAAATGCATCAGTGTTAACAAGCGAATAGGCATTGAAGGCATTGAGGTCAGACAACGGCATTAAATATTCACGAAAGAGGATATATAACTCCAAAAGCGATATCATGTTGAAAAAAGTCAACAATATGACGTATTTTATGTCAGCAGTTATTAATTTGGCGCCAAAAATGGGTCCACCGCGTTCGGCAACTCGCTCTTCGATCGCTGTCGCCAGGAAGATTAATAGTTGTGTTATTTTGAACAAAACGTGCTGTTCCTCGTCAAATTAAACCCTGAATTCTAGAATTAAACATTAGACGAGGTCAAAGCAACTTAGACATTGCCTTTATTTTTTGTTAGCTGCGAAGAAACAGACTATAATTAAAGGACAGTTCAGTTGCAGCCGGTCGCACTGCGTGCGCAGCCACCGTATGCAAGATGAACATCTCCAAATTTGTAAATTTATATCAATACGTGTACAACGTGTTTCGAAGGTAGTCAAAGATCACCAGAAATTTTACGAAGATAACCGCGAAAATAATCATATTTCCGAACAATTCAGAAGTTCCTTCGAACACTACCGAAGATTATACGAGGATTACCGGCGTTTGTCGAGTATTACCTGAACACATCATCCGAAGGTTTGTGAATATGTTCAAAAATACCCGAAGGTATTTGGAAGACCAAAACCGCCGCCTTTGCAAAATTTACTCGACATGCTTGCGTATTTAGAATCAAACTGATACTAAGACTTTATTTAACCTCGAGTAGTGGAGGCTTGTTAGACCTCGTAGCAGAAACAGTTAATGAGTCAAGCCAAAAAAAATTTAAAATCTAGCTAAAAAGAAACTATACCAAAAAAATCCGTGAGCATATATCCATGCCATGTAATAAACATCTTATCAGCCGAACTTAGTCGGCCTGTATGAGAGAATCTTGACCTCGGTCGTGTGTACAGAACTCGCTGCGTTCGGTCTGTACTCACGACTTTGGTCGAGATTCTCCCATACAGACGTCCTGCTTTGCTAATAAAAGTTTAATATGAGATACTAAAACATTGAATCACATATGGCAGGTAGAAAGATTTTAGTTATTGTACAAATAGCAATCACAGGTGCCAAATGTGTCTTGCTTAATTTCCCTAGTGAATGTTTTTTTTTGTCAACAGCAGTTCTTAGTTCGCCGTCCAGAGAGTTCCAGATTTTCTTGTGTCATTTATTATGCAATAAAAAAAAAAATTATGGCAGTACCTAAATGGCTATTATACCAATCCCTCTACAATGCAACGAGCACCCATCATACGTGATGAGACTCATCAACTATTGCTGCGCACCGACGCTAAACCGTGGATTCTTGAAGAAGTGAAAACATCGTATCACCTTCAGTGGCCCCGTCTCTTTATGTCTTGTACCAGAAAATCTGATGATCGGATTGATGAATGTGCAAGTCTTGGCGATCAGTGAAGGAATAGCAAAAGTAAATAAAGAAATCTCTTCAGGATTCCTAGCCTCTGACCTAATCGACACTATTTCCTATGGAATCTGCACACAGTCACGCGATGTTTTGTCAGTGGTGCATTTGGTCTCCGTTCTTTTTGTGCCTTTTGTGCCATCAAAAGCATTGCATTTAGCGGCAAACACGAACCACACAAAAGTTAAGATCACGTACCAGGCATCAGCGGAGCGAGTGGATTTCCATTTGATCGAGCAAACCGCTCCACTTCCTGCTTTCTGATAGCATGAGCATCCCAGTGGAGGCAAACTTCCCCGGGTGTTAACAATTTACTAAACCACCAGAGTGATGGTGGTCTTCCCAAGTGTGCAGTTTGGTGTAGAATGGAGGACAGTTTGGTAGAATGGGAGACAGGCCACCACAGAATGGTTAAAAATGTACCAGTGACACCCCAAGTCGAAGAGACACCGGCTCCGGGAGACATTGGCTGCAACTCCCAATGGCATTGCTGTTACAGTGAGTATGAAGTCGGCCAGGGCCAAACTAAGGATTGGAATGCTGGCTGGACTGCACAGAATGGAATGCACCTTGTAGAGGACCTATCGTTGCCAGCATTATAATAAGGTAGAACGCTTGCATGAACCGTCTTTCTATCGAGTTATAGAAACACGAGTGGAATTTTGAGAGAACGAGAAATGCTGTGGGAACGCGAGTCGCAGGCGAGTGTTCCCACAGCTTTTTCGAGTTCTCTCAAACTTTCACGAGTTAGACGGAAACTTTCGAACGTGTTAGACGGAACAAACCCATTGGATATAACTTGATATAATCCTCACCGTGCACATTTTTTACTTTCAATTCCAGTTGATTTGAGATTTGCACTCGAAACAAAACGAGGGAACTTCAAATACTCTCATGAGTCCGGGCAACCCTAAAACACAGAATCCGGAAACCGAAACCCGGAATCCGGAATCCGGAATCCGGAATCCAGAATCCAGATATTGCTCTGAGAAGACTGGTGAGAAGCACAATAGCAACAAACCGTTGCTGTGAGTTTCTGGCAGTCTTTTAATAAGGATGCTTTGCGACCAACCTGTTTTCCTGATTCTAAAATCAAGAAAATCGTAAATTAGATGTAATTCAGTTCTAAGTTTTGATTGTTATAGATATAAAATATATATTTGATTTTCAGGCCATGATTAACCCGATATTAGAGATAACAATTCACAAATCAGAACTCTCAAACCTGAAATCAAAATTTAGAAATCAGAAATCTGAAGCCAGAATTCAGCAATCAGAAATCGCAAATCGCAATCCCTGAAAATCTGAAATCCACAGTTGAGCAATCAGAAATCAAAAGCTTACTTTAGACGCTCTCGCGGTGCTTAAAATCAAATTAC